GGATCTCCAAGGATCACAATGGGCATTTCAACTTCCCTTACCATGATCTTCCGCTCTGGGAAAAAAGTCCCGGCCTGCCTCTTCCTGAACAGCCAAGTGTTCCGAAAGATGCGTGCGTCATGCACCTTTCCAGGCCAGCCTGTGTTAATGTCAATGAAATGCCCACGGTGATCCACAAGCGCCTGGAGAACCATAGAGAAATACCCCTTCCGATTAACGTACTCGGATCCTAGGTGGGATGGTGCCAGAATAGGAATGTGCGTCCCATCTATCGCCCCTCCACAGTTAGGGAATCCCATTTGTCCAAAGTCATCCACTATTTCCTGCACGTTACCCAGAGTCACGGTTCTTCTGAGTAGGATGCGATTAATGGCCTTGCAAACTTGCATCAACATGATTCCAACAGTCGACTTTCCCACTCCAAACTGGTTTGCGACCGACCGGTAGCTGTCTGGAGTTGCCAGCTTCCAGATTGCAATAGCCACCTGCTTCTCCACTGGCAGGGCAGCTCTCAATCTCGTGTCCTTGCGCCGCAGGGTGGGGGCAAGCTCCTCACACAGTCCCATGAAAGTGGCTTTTCTCATCCGAAAGTTCTGCAGCCACTGCTCGTCATCCCAGACTTTCATGACGATGTGATCCCACCACTCGGTGCTTGTTTCCCGAGCCCAAAAGCGGCGTTCCACGGTGCTGAGCATGTCCGTGAATGCCACAAGCAATTTCGTGTCGTACACGTTACGCGGCTCGATAGCATCGTCGGACTCCTCACTCTCACTGTCACTTTGGATCTTAAGGAATAGTTTAACAGCCAAACGTGACGTGCTGGCGAGACTCGTCAGCATACGCCTCAGCAATTCGGGCTCCATTTCCCGCAGACAGATCGCGCTGCACAGAAACCGTTGAAAGATGGCGCCAAAGGTGAACGGAAACAAAGGGATTTCTGGGATGTGAAGCGATGCATCACGGGGCGTTGGGACAGGACCCAGAATGCCCCTTCCCACGCCCCCTTCCCACAACCCACAGCGCCAGAATGGGAAGAGGTGCTCTGTGGGATAGCTGCCCATAATGCACCGCTCCCAATAGCGCTGCAATTGCCGCAGATGTGGCCACGACAGTGCGCTGGGCAGCTGTCAGTGTGGACAGACTGCAGCGCTTTCCCTACTCAGCTGCACGAAGTCAGGTTTAACTCACAGCGCTGTACATCTGCAAGTGTAGCCAAGTCCTTAGTGAACATCAATGTCAATGGGGTAGGATCCGAGCCTAAAATAGGAAAGGAAATAATTACGAATTCCTTAAACAAGTTAGAGGTCTTCAATTAGGCAGGGCCTGATGAAATACACCCTAGAATACTTAAGGAACTGGATGAAGAGATCTCTGAGCCATTAGCGATTATCTCTGAGAACTTGTGGAGGAGGGTAGAGAGACCCGAGGACTGGAAAAGGGAAACTATAGTACGCTGTTATAGACAGAGATACAAGGACAACTCAGGGAATTACAGACCAGTCAGCTTAACTTCAGTACCTGGAAAGATAATGAAGCAATTAAACATTCTATTTGGAAGCATTTATTAGTTTATTTCCTTCTGGGTAACAGTCAACATGGATTTGTCATGAACAAATTATGTCAAACCAACCTAATATCCTTCTTTGAGAGGTAACAAGCTTGTGGACAGGGCAGAAGCATTACATGTCACAACTCGACTTTAGTGAGGCTTTTGATACTGTCTTACATGACCTTCTCATAAACAAGCTACATAAATATAGCCTAGGCAAACCTGCTATAAGATGGGTGAACAACTGGTTGGAAAACCATACTCAGAGAGCAGTTACTGTGGTTCACAAATGAGCTGAGAGGGCATATCGAGTGGGATCCCAGAGGGATCCGTCCTAGGTCAGGTTCTATTCCATATCTTCAGAAATGATTTGGACAATGGCATGGAGAGTATACTCAAAATGTATGAACAATTCAAAGCTGGGTGGGGTTGCAAGCGTGTTGGAGGACAGGATTAGAATTTAAAGTGATCTTGACAAACTGGAGAAATGGTCGGAATTAAACAGGATGAAATTCAATAAGACCATATGCAAAGTACTACATTTCAGTTGGAATAATCAATTACACAAATACAGAATGGGAAATGCCTGCCTAGGAAGGAGTACTGAAGCAAATCCGCTGGGGTTATACTGGATCACAAACTAAATATGAGTCAACAACGGAATACTGTGGGGAAAAAAGCAAATATTCTGGGATGTATTAGCAGGAGTGTTGCAAGCAAGATGTGAGAAGCAATTCTTCTACTCTACTCTGCACTGGTAAGGCCTAAACTGGAGTATTGTGTCCAGTTCTGGGCTGCACACTTCAGAAAGGATGTGGACAAATTGGATAGGTTCAGAGCAGAGCATCAAGAATGATTAAAGGTCTACAAAACATGACTCATGAGGAAAGATTGAAAACAATTCAGTTTGTTTCATCTGGAGAAGAGAAAACTGGTGGGGATGGGGGAAGGGAGGATCCCGATAACAGTCCTCAAGTACCTAAGAGGTTGTTACAAAGAGGAGGCTGATAAATTGTTCTCCTTATCCACCGAGGCCAGCACAAGAAGTAATGGGCTTAAATTGCAGCAAGGGAGATTTAGGTTAGACATTAGGAAAGACTTCCAAACTGTCAGGGTAGTTAAGTACTGGAACAAATTACCTGGGGAGGTCGTCGAATTTCTGTCATTGGAGGATTTTAAGAACAGGCTAGACCAGGGGTGGGCAAACATTTTGGCCCAACGGCCACATCGGGGTGAGCAAATTGCTTGCAGGGCCATGACTGTAGGGCTGGGGCAAGAGGATGCAGTGCAGGAGGGAGTGCGGCGTACAGGAAGGGGCTCAGGGCAAGGGGTTGGGGTGCAGGGGGGATGTGCGGTGTATGAGGGGGCTCAGGGAAGGGGGTTGGGGTGAACAGTGCAGGAGGGGGCTCAGGGCAGTGGTGCAGGGAGGGATGCAAGATGCAGCAGTGGACTTAGGGCAGCGGGTTGGGGCACAGGGTGCGGCAGGAGGCTCAGGGCAGGGAGTTGAGCTGCAGGAGGGGCACAGGGTGCGGCAGGGGGCTCAGGTCAGGGAGTTGGGGTGTGGGGTGCAGGAGGGGTTCAGGGTGTGGGCTCCGGCCTGGCGCTGCTTACTTGGAGCGGCTCCAGGGTGGCAGCAGGGCCAGGGCAGGTTCCCTACCTGCCTGCCCTGGCCTTGGCCCCAGGCTGCTCTGCTCGGGGAAGCGGCCAATACCACGGCCCTGTGGGAAGGGGAGCAGAGAGCTCCCCAGCCTGTGGTACCTCCCCCGAAGCTGCTATTGGCCGCGGTTCCCCGTTCTCGGCCAATGGGAGCTTCGGGGGAGGTATCCACAGGCAAGATCAGCGCGCAGAGCCCTCTGCGAGGGGAGCGGGGACTGCAGCACCACCGGGGTGGCAAATCGGCGGGTCGAATGCGGCCTGTGGGCCGTAGTTTACCCACCCCTGGGCTAGACAGACACCTGTCAGGGATGGACTAGGTAATACTTAGCCCTGTCTCAGTGCAGGGGACTGACTGGACTAGATGACATAACGAGGTCCTGTCTAGTCCTACATTTCTATGATTCATAGATATCAAGGCCAGACAGGCTATTGTGCCCATCCAGCCTGGCTTCCTGCCAATCCCAGCCAGAGAAGCTCCCCCAGCCATTCCTGCCTCTGGCCCAGTAACTCCTGGCTGAGTTGGGGCGTCTCTTTCTCAAAGCCCTGCTCTATCTTCACTGACAGATTCCCAGTGATGGAGAATCCACCCTGTCCGTAGGGGAGCTCTCCCAATGGATCATTCCGCTCCCAGATAAATATTGGCTCCTAATTCCCAGTCTCCATTTGTCCCCTTCAGCTCCCTGCTAGTAGATCTCACTCTGCCTTTTCCTTCTACATTAAAGAGCACTCCACTAGCATGTGTGTAAATCAGAAGGGACTGGGTTATTATGACTCACCTGAGGAGGAGCTCTCAGGCCCGGAGCTTTCCCTGGAGTCCTCGGCATCCTGGATCCAGAGCTCTGCCTCGCCTACCTCGATCCGGTGGATTAAGTCCGGTGTGGAACCTGAATAGCCTGTTTCGGGGAGAAAGAATCAGTTTTATTACCAAAGTTTTGGGAGTAGGGACTCATTTATACGTTGGTGCGGCCCAGCACAACAGGGCCCCAATCTTGGTCAGGGTGTGTCTGCGCAGCACTGGGCGCGACGAGGCCCCGATCCCGGACACTGCTTGAGAGGAAAGCGCAGGAGATCCCAAGCAGGAGAATAAAGAAATAAACCTTCCTTAGAGGAGATTTCTTCCCGTCTCCCACCAGGCAAGTTCAGTTCACACTCTGAAGCAGCAACGTCTATGACCCTTCTCAATTTGCTTTGGGGGACTGAGTCACGGCAGGTGTCACCGTTACACAGACTTATCAGTTCTTTTGCTTAGGGTGCCCAAGCATTGTTCAACGTTGCGCTTGTTGAATTTATGATGTTCTTTCTTTCTGGGGAGGTGAGGAGCTGTTTCAACCAGTAGAAGAGTTTTCTCTCTGCCTTATTTGCTCATGTGCTGTTTACAACCACCCCTGTGCCAGGACTAAGATTAGCCTCAGGCTCTGTAGCCCTGACTTCTCCTTCAACAGGAAGCCAGCCTAAAAGGGGCTGACATTTGCCATCACTGGGTTGCTGGGTGACACATGGCAGCTGAGGCATCGAGGGACCACACACATTTCACAGGTGTGAGTAAAGGATGGGAAATTTTGTATTTACCCAGGGAAACAAGGACCCGGTAATTCCTCAGCATCTGGTCCCGGTACACCTGCTTCTCTGGCTGGGATAGGAGCTCCCACTCCTCCCGGGTGAAATACAGAGCGACGTCCTCAAACGCCACCTGGAGCTGCTGGCACAAGCGTTACACACTCAGCACCATCCGCTCCAGCCCCCAGCCCGGAGTCTCAGCAGGGGACACGGTTTCTAGGGGAGCGACTCCCAGGGAACCCCCAGCCCAACAGCTCTGACCCAGGGAGACTCCCCCCCACCCCCGCACAGCTCCCCCCAGGGACTCGGGGCCCTGCTGGCCGGGGACAGGAGTCACCCTCGGCTCCCCACGGGGCTCTGGGGCGGGGCGCTGGGAGGGGCCCGAATCCCAGGGCCGGGAACAGGCTCCTCCCCCCCGGCCGGAGTCCCCGCCTCCGCCCCAGGCCTGTGCTCAGCCCCGCTCCCGCCCCGGCTCAGGCGCCTCCGGGCTCCTCTGCCCGGCCGGGGCCTCGCTCGGGGGAAGGGGCCGCGCCCGGCTCCGCGTGTCCGCCCGGCCAGGGCCCCCCAGCCCCGGGGCCCCAGAGCCGCCCCTCGGCCCCAGCACTCCGGCTGCT